TTGATCTACATATTTTATATTTTTTTACATTATTTACATTTGATCTTTTACATTGTATATAATGTCTATTGATTTTATTGTTTATTTTAATATTTGTGTACAGCGCTTTGTGATTGTCTGTCTGTGAAAAGCGCTTAATAAATACAGTTTACTTACTTACCTACTTACTTACTTATCCAGTAAAAAGACTTATCATACTTAATGTTTAAAAAACAATCTGGCCAAGAGGGAAGTAGAAAATTAAAACAAATACCATATTAGTTGTATAAAGATATTTTAATTGCTTATAATGTAGAGCGCAGAGTCGCTACTTGCAAAACAGGTCCTTTGTTTATTTTATATACACCCCTTCATAAACCCTGGTGTCTACAGCCTGTTTACAAATAGACACAAAAGTTTTGTAGTTGGTACTTTTTATAGACGGTCTCATCATGCAGATTATTCCTAAACTGGCAGCTGCCATTCTTCTGCATATAGAGTTAGTAGGTTTTCATACCTTTTAAGTACATTTTAGTGATCAGTTAATCTCATTCACGGCATTTACTTCAGGGTGATTTATTACCACCGCTGCTTTAGGAACAGCTTGAGGCTTAATACATTACAACAGAGAACTGTGATTAATTAACAGCTCACTAAAAACACACCCAACCACAGTGTAATCTACTGGACCCTGGAACCTTTACTGGACCTCACAAGTTTACTTTAAGTCACTTAAGCTGTAGCAATAATTGAATTTATTTACTCTATTCTATATTACTATATTCTATTCTGATGTGTACCTTAAAATTATCAAAAAATAAAGTACATCGATGTTAATTATCAAAGGTTATGCTGCTGTGCCTGTCTTTGTTACATGCTTTTATTTTAAATTTGTGAAGAAGGGCTACAGCAACAGTTTACTGTTAAGTTTAAAATTTCACAAAGGGTGGAAAAAAAGGCCAAATAAAGTTGTGACTTTTTCCTCATGCAGTGCAGCGGTGAGGCAAGGCATTGTCGACTTGATGCAGAGAGCACTCAGTGAGCCAGAAGTGAAGTCTGTGGTCATCTGTGGCCAGAATGGGATATTCTGTGGGGGTATGGACATGTTTTTTGTTTTTTTTATCATATACCATCATATTATTTATAATGTCAGTGTCTCTGTCTGCCCATCTTCTTTCACTTATCCTATTGAAATTAATTTTTAAAGTATATTTTAAAAACATGCTCCATGACAGATTGGATCAAGTTGATCCCACTTTGTTCTTCTGGTGTTTTCCCTTCAGTTTGAGTTCCCTTCAGAGTGGGCACCTCGATTCCCTAAAAAGGGAACAAAGTGTCAGTGAAGTTCACAAGCAACCAAACATATTAGTGATACTCTAACAAAATAAACACATTTTCAGTAGTTTTTTTATTGCCCCTTTTTCTTTTTTTTTTAAAATTAATTTAATGTTAATATTCCATCATTAAAAGGTGATTTGTTGCATACACATAATGCAGTAAACAACACAGATCCTGTCATGGCATTTGCAGGTGTAAACACAAAAGCAAAACCAGAAGTAAATAATTTCACAAAGAAATAATCCTAAACTTTACATTTTTCAACTATTTGTGTCATTATGTCCACCATCATTTAACTTGGAGCTTATTTGCTTAACCGTTGTGTTTCATTCTGTAAAATATGAAAAATGGAGAAACATGTTTTTTCTCAACTAAAACCCAAATATATCTGTCAGACAAGATTGAGAAAAGTAGAAAAGAGCCACACAAAATAATGAATTGCTGATCTGCATATCCATCTCTCATGACCTTTCTTTCTCCAAGTTTCTGATCATTTTGTCAATTTGAATTTGTGCAACAGGAGCAGACATCAAGGAGTTTGGGGGACAGATGTCTGGGCCTCCCCTGATACCGATGATCCACGCCATCGAGGCTGCTTCCAAGCCCGTGGTGGCAGCTATAGAGGGGATCGCTTTAGGTGGAGGCCTTGAGTTGGCACTTGGCTGTCATTATCGGATCGCACACTCTAAAGTTAGTTCATGCTTCAGATCTCTGTCCCTGTCGGACAGTGTCTCTTTAATGTCAGCGACGTAACGCATTGATGTCTGTCAGTATCTTGCATGTTATGAAGCTTTTGCATAATAATGGTTTTTTTTTTTTAAATAAATTTGCAAATGACTAGAAAAAGAGTGAGCTTGTCTGTGTCAGACTTGAAAAGGTTTAAAAAAATCTTATCTGTCCAGAATACATTTGATATTTATGTCACTCACAGAAGCCAGGCAGAATAACACATATCATATTCAAAGAATATTTCCAGAAACATTTTTCACTAATGTCTAAACCTCCACAGTTCAGTACGTCCCGTTTATCAAATTTTGTGCCTTTATGCCTTTTCAGGCCAAAGTGGGACTTCCAGAGGTGACTCTGGGGCTGCTGCCTGGTGCAGGGGGAAGCCAACGTTTGCCGAGGCTCATCGGTGTCCCGGCTGCCTTGGACCTCATCACCACAGGTAGCAGAAAGAAGTTAACACTGTCTGACTTTGATTAATAAAGTTTCCTAAACTTGGCGACTCCCAGCAACTTTTGGTTTCTGAAGAAGAGCACGTACTAAAACCTTTGATAATAAAGCACCCAGACATGTCACTGTATGCAGTCCTGCTAAAAACGAATGAGAAACTATTCAGTAGCTTGTAGAACCGCCCATAGAGGCAATAGTTAGACTTTATCAGCCTCTCACATCATGTGTTTACAACATTGCTTCAGTTCATTGAGGTTTGCTGGCATTTGATTATGCAAAGCTCTCTTAAGGTCTCAACACAGCATATTAGTCACTGGGCCTACAGCAAGTGTTGTAGATTTGTTGTTGTGGTTGGGCGAGCTTTAGCTCACGGACAGAGAGCCTCACATTTGACTCTAGAATACTTGGGTATCCAGAGTCTGAATGATCAGCCCTTTACCACAGTGGTTAACTGTTGTTGTGAGGTGTTTGTGCTGATTTGCTGTGTTTTGTTTTCTGTGCATTATGACCAAACATCTCCACTTTGTCTTGTTTGTCCAAATGACATTGTTCCAGAAGTCTTATGTTTTGTTCAGATGCAATTCTGCAAACAGAGCCGTGCTGCCTCTGGAGAGAAGAGGCTTTCTCCTGGAAACCAAACAAGTCATATTTGTTCAGTGTGTCTCTGATTGTACATCCATGACTTTAATATTTAACAAACAAACTAAGGCCTAAGATGTTGCTCTTAAGTTGGTTTATTCCTTTATTTATTTTTGCAGCTTCTCTGATTGTTGCACGCTATGACCTTGAGGTGAATTTGTTTGGATGTTGGCAGTCTGCCAAAGCTCCTGCTTTCATAGAAACGCTCACACTTGCTAATGATCATTTATTTAACTGTATTTGATTAGCAGCACCTGTCTGCTACTTACCCCTGTAATTCCTATGGAAACAGTAAGGGTTTTTTTTTTTTTTCACGTGTGACTGAAAAT